ACAGTATTATTTGTTATATTCGTTATGCTGTATATTATATTCCCCTGATTATTTTGTAACTACCAATGTGTACTTCTTAATCCCTTCACCTTTTTCACCCAGTCCCTCAACCCCCCTCCCCTCTGGGAACCATCAATTTTATCTCTGTATTTGAGTTTGTATTTTTTTAAAAAATATTTGTACTTATTTCAGAGAGGAAAGGAGAGGGAGAGAAATAGAAACATCAATGATGAGAGAGACCCTCCTGCATGCCCCACACTGGGGATTGAGCCCACAACCCAGGCATCTGCCCTGGCTGGGAATTGAACTGTGACCTCCTGGTTCATAGGTCGATGTTGACACTCAACCACTGAGCTGAACCAGCCCAGCTGTATTTATGATTTTTTTTTAAAGGATACTCCCTTTCTCATTCTGTTTCACCCCCTCCCCCACCTCAGTTTCACTGACATCCACAAGGAAGAGAGAGTTACTGGAATTGGGCCTGTTTACAGGAGGAAGCTGTTAAGTGGGAAGGGAAAGTGTGAGGAATGTGCTATGGGGTTTGCTCTGGGGGAAATATGAAGTCTTTCCTTTCTCCTCTTTGTCCACACAAATTTCCTTGGGCTGCCTGGGCTTGAGATGACACAATTGCCTTTTTATAATGCTTCTCTTACTCTGTAGGGGAAAAGGTTACCACTTTGGATCCAGATCCCGCACTTTTTTCTCTAGAAAAGAATTGTTCTCCAAGGGAGAAGGGAATCTACATGTACTGTGAAGTGCAGTGGTGGATATTGCCTGGCTAAGACTGGGGCTTCTATTTAGATGAATTATACCCACAAACTTGCCCTGAGAGACTGGTCCTGCTGTGTTCCATTTCAGATAGGTTCAGTGGGTAGGTCTCTGATGTGGACTTTCCCCTCTTCTTCCATTTTCTCCATGTCTGTTGGCATCATTTAACATAGGAATTCAAACTCTGGGCTCCTAAATACACTGGGTTGGCTCTTCTGCCCAATGAGCCAAAAGTGAGATTTCATTAGTGGACATGAGAAACGGCCTCCAGTGAACAAACAATTCAGATACTCACTATGCTGTGTGTTTGGGAAATGTTTTCATGATATGTGATAGGTAAAGCCTGAGGTCTTGATTTTATCACAGGAAGAAACAGCTTAACTCTCCACTAGAAAGTTTGGTCATGAGCAATGGATGAGCAGATGAGAAGGGCTTCTCACACCATTCTCACTTTCAGAAGCATGACCAAGTACCTACGCTCAGGAGTGTCCATTAGCTCGGTGTACAGAGGACTGCTCATTCCATTAACTCACTTTGTTCCCAGTAGAAGGTAAAATTGCTTGTAAAGACCAAGCTAAGCCAAATAAAGCCATATATCGGGGGGGGGGGGGGGAGACCAGGCTTAATTGGGGCCAGTAGGGAATATTCAGAATAGCTCCAAGCTAGGGGAAGGCAGAGCTCTCTGATACTTGGGGAATTTGGTCCTGTAGGAACTAGAGTATATGTGTTACAGGATTAGGGACTTTTGTGTCTCAAGTTGGACCATATAGTATTTGTGCTTCTGGGTCTTAGCTGTAATTAACTATTTTACTCTTCATCTATGCTAATTAGCTTTTAAATTCGTTCAAGAGTTTCATTCCTGTGTTAGGCATAGTGGCAGCTGTAAGGGATGCTGGTATGTATCCAAGCTGATGGGGAAGGTGCCAGTGGGCTCCTGGCTGGTCTGGTTGGAGGTCTTCTCTTCCTGACTGTTGAAGGTATATGGCAGGACAGGACCAGGGCCTGGGTGGCAGGAGGCTGCTGAAGGAAAGAGGAGGGAACTGGGCTGTAGCAGAGGCTCTCACTGGGGTCCTGCCTGGACAGCCCCACTGGGAGAGATGAGAGAATGCATTTTCTTGCAAAAGGAAACATCAGGTTCCTCCTTCATTCTAGTTGAGAGTTTACTAGTGTCCAGATACATATCAGCGTTCCCCTCACAGAAGCCACTGATGTTTTATGCACTTGAATGAAATACTTGAAAATTTTAAAAGGCCAATTGGCATAAATGAAGAACAAAATAATGATAGATAATACATGGAAGCCTAAAAATGATCAATACAGACACAGATGTTTCCAGCTGATAGAGTTCTAAGGAGCAGAGGGGCTGTACTAAGTCCAGGGCAGCCATCTCCTTGTGCCTCAGGGGATTCGTTTATTTTATTCAGTTTCCATTAACTCACTTGCTACGATCCAACCTTTTAAGGAGTTAAAAAAAACTTTAAAAAATTTTAATTTTATTAAAATATAGTTGATGTACAATATTACATGAGTTTCAGGTGTATGACATATTCAACATTTATGTACCTTACAAAGTGATCACAATAAGTCTAGTAATTACCTGTCACCTTGCAAAATTATTATGATGTTATTATTTTTTAAATCCTCACCGAAGGATATGCTTGGGGAGATAGAGAGGGAGAGAGAGATAGAGAGAGAGAAAGAAAGAGGTGAGAGAGAAACATCAATTGGTTGCCTTCTGTACATTCCCTGGCTGGGATGGAACCCATAATCCAGGTATGTGCCCTGACCAGGGATGCACAGGATAACCCTCAACTAACTGAGCCACTCCAGCCGGCCTATTACCATGTTGGTGACTATTTTCTCTGTGCTGTACATTACATGCCTGTGGCTTATTTATTTTATGACAAAAACAAAAAAACTTTTAATCACTCAAGAGGTATAACAGGAAAAGTCAAGCTTGAGAAGCAGGGCTTGCTGATCCTATAGCGTTCTGCCATCACATGGCGCTCTCCTTGTATGTGTGCTCTGCGTCCAAATTCCCCATTTCTTGTAAGGACACCGGTCATTGAATTAGGACTGACTCTAACACAGCACAGTTTCATCTCAACTGGATTATATCAGTGCAACCCTATTTCCAAATGAGGTCCCATTCACAGGTTCCTGGGGTTAGGGCTTCGGCGTACCATTTTAGGGGACACAGTTCAACCACAACACTCCCTTTGCCCATCTCCCTCCTGGACTCGTGTGCTGGTATCTTACCATTTCTCCCTGTTTCCAGGGCCTCCCTTCTGACCTGTCTATACTACCAATAGAATTATCTTTCTGTAATGTAGGGAGAAATCATATTATTCTATACTCTGTGGCTCCCAAAGGTTAAACTTGTGATTTGACAAGCCCTTTATAGACTGTTCTCATTTGAGAGCTGGACCTTTTGTCTTCATGGCATAATATGAAACAGGAATATCTTGTACAGGATCTTAATTGAAGCTAGCCTTGATGAGTCATGTGCCTGCCAGGAATAATTGCTCATTAATCTCCCCTCCTACTGGGCTTCTCACTCACTCAGCCCTGAGAAGTCCTTGGGAAGCAGTTGGATTTCTTGCAGGATTGTTCCTAAGGATGCTGTACTTGCATATCTCATCAGATCCTGGTTTTTTATGCTTTCACTTTTATTTCCTAAACTTTCAGTGGAAGAAGGCAAGATTGCCCATCATACGGTAGTTGGATTTTATTTACTCACGAAACTGATACTCACAAAACTGTCCTCTCTTTCCTTAACCCAGTCTGGCAAAATGGCACATATGTCGTGAACTTATTTCCCGTGAAAGCATGTGGAGTGGGAGGGGTGGGATGGAGGGTAAAAGTGTTTTCATGGAGAATAAAGAAGGATTCATGAGAATAATATTCATACAGAGTTCAGCGGGATAGAATCAATGTGAAGCATCTTCTTAGCCAGTTGGCCATCTTAGAGATTACTGTACCTAGACTTTTTTTCTGATACTGTAACAATAAAATCAATCAATTCCACCATTTAAGTGACTGAGTCCCTAAGAAGATCTTAAAGGAGCTAGACATTTGCCTAAGTAGTTAAATCTCAGTTAAATTGCAGTAGTGTGATCTCCCTAGGTGCAGAGGGGCAGAGAAAGAGCCATGTAAGGTCACTTGTATCTAGAAAGTATCTTTCAGTATAAGGGCTATACCTTTATCGGTCCGAACTTGGCCCAGTGGGGAACGTGTGGAAGCTGGAATTAGACTGATTGGGTTGTTATCCTTTCATTTAAAGCAGCGTAGACCTCGGTGGTTTGGCTCAGTGGATAGAGCACCAGCCTTCAGACTGAAGGGTTCTAGGTTTCATTGCGGTCAAGGGCATGTATCTCAATTCCTGGCACATCAATGGTTCTCTCTCTCTTGTCTCTCCCCCTCCCTTCCACTCTCTAAAAATCAAGGGAAAAACATCCTTGGGTGAGGATTAACAACAACAAAAGTAGTGTAGCCATAGGTGAGTGATCCTCTTCAAGCCTTAGTTTCCTAAGCTGCATGAAAAACATTTGGTACAATACCTGGCAAAAGGTAAGTACTAAAAATGTCAGATGTCTAAATGTTATTATTTTGTTGTAATTATATGAATGACCCCAAAGCGGGTTTCACCTGCATCCAGGAACTTTATGAAATTCTACCTAATTACCTAAGCATCCTAGTGGGAATGCTGGTTAAAACTACACATGGGTCTTTTATTACAACTAATATTTTACATGGTGGGGTGAAGGGCTTTTTATAAGTAACTCTTTCAGTGACGCAAAGGTAAAGGTGTTCGAGGTAGAGCAATTTTAGAGAAAAATGTAGCCCACGTTAAGACTTATATAAACTATTGTTATAAGTCGATTTAAAAGGGAAAACAATATTTTACTAAGAGAAAGTAGAATTTTTATTGGAAGGGGACAGAAGAAACCTAGAATGAGACAAGTGTTACAACTGGGCAATTCTTACAAAGCCAAGAGCTCCCTGCCCCCAAATTCTGAGGAACCTTGAGGAGTAATTGAGTGCTGTTTGGGGGTTTTTCAGATTTCTGCATGTAGTGCTTAGTGTTTGGGTGGGAGAGACAGTTCTTGTATTTTCCATACAGCTGTTCTCTTTATATAAATATCCAAACAAAAAGAGGGTTTAAAACTATAACGAGAGCTCTCTTTTGAGACACTTTCTCTCTGTAACATTTTTCTCTTTCTTACAATCAGGCGAAAATGAAATCCTTGCAACTCTGCGTGCAATTTCCAGCAGAAACCAGGTCTGGAGGTCGTATATTGGCATGGGCTACTATAACTGCTCAGTGCCACAGACTATTTTGCGGAACTTACTGGAGAACTCAGGATGGTAATGTGTTACTTGATTAAAAACAGAAGTATTGTGATTTTATTTGTATGGTTCTCCCCACTTTCCCACACCCCCTACCCCTGGGGGCCTCAGAACTTATCCACTGACCCCTGCACTCGTGCTGTCTCTAACCTCCAGGAACTTACTTGGCTTTCTCTGGCTCGGGAAATTTCTTTACTCAAATTGGTGGAGGAACTAGAAGCCTCTTCCTGCTTTTATTCCCATAAAACATTCTAGAGCTCTAACTTGTGGATGCTGGTAATCTCTTTCTCTCTCTGACCTAATGCCTATTCTGTCTTTGTAAGGACATCTGAGCAAGATGTCACACCTGCAGGGGAGCAGATTCAGGGCTTTACTCTTTGGAAACACTGGGGTTTGGGGTTATAGACAGTCTTAGAGGTTAGAATCAGTGAGTCAGAATCTTGGTCCATTGTCTTTCGTCAGGATTTTAGGAGGCTCCATTGTCTCTCCCTGACTCCTATTCTAGATTCACAACCAACTGAAAAAAAAAAAAAAGGCAATGTCAGGTAAATGGAGATCAAGATATTAGCTTTATTACTTAGTACTCTGTAGAGAAAGAGAACATGTGAGGCCTGTGAACAGGCTCCAGTGGAAACCATAAAAGAAGGAGCTGAGCTGTGCATGCTCAGCTGCTCGTTCTGTTCTCCCCTCACTCATTCCTAGTCCTCAGGGTGTGTGTGTGTGTGTGTGTATGTGTGTGTGTGTGTGTGTGTGATGTCTGTCTGTCTTTGTCCTTGCATTTTCTCGCGGCTACTGCTTGTACAATACTAAACGTGTCTCCTCCACACCTAAGGAAAACTTCCCATGTCCACTTCCATAGTATTTTGTTATTTTCCATTGTCGCTTGTTATGTGATGTAAAGAATGAAACAGGTTCCCTTTCCGATACTAAGTAAGAAAACACCTTGGATGGCTCCAAAAGTGCCTGGGAGCAGATTTGGGCCTCTCTTCCTCTGCCCATGGGGAAATACGGCCAGACTGTGGAGGAGGAAAGGTGGGGACTTCCGGGCCTTTCTTTCCCTTGTTTTTGGATCAGTGTCATTGCATATACTAGTATTTTTGAATTGAAACTTTATTTCCACTGATGACTTAGTCTCCAAAGGCCTGGGTGCACTTATTCCTAGCATAGAGACAAACCAAGCCCTGGCCAGGTAATCAGTTGGTTAGTTAGAGCGTTGTCCTGATACGCCAAGGTTGGGGGTTCAATCCCTGGTCAGCAGGGTACATGCAAGAATCAACCAATGAATG